TACGCACAGAGCACGCTCACCTCCCACGGTTGACCTCTGGCTCCTCCTGGCTCAGAAGCGCAGGCCCTTCCCTCCCACTCAGACCTGGATGTTTGGGCATTTCGACCACTCTCCAGCTGTGGCTTCGCAGCCCTGGCTCCCGGATTGCAGCTGCCCTCCTGGCAGCCCCGCGCCCCACCCCCCGCGTCCACTTTCCCCTCCTGGGATGAGCCTCTGCACCACACCCCTCACGCTCCACTTTCTCAGCCCTCTCCCGATGGAAACTGGAGGCCTCTCCCTGGAGGGGCTATTGCTGCGGCCTCGGTTTCCTCAATCCCACGGACCACCCCTCACTCTGAGCTTTGCCGTCCAGGGAAACAGACAGGGATATGGCGCTGCCAGCAGCACCTCTCTCTCCGTCAAAACCGCCTGCCGCAAGGACTACTGGACGAGTGGGACTACTGATTTGTTTCTTGTGAATCTGTGTAGACCCAGGCCTGAGAGATGCCTGAAATGCAAACGACCCTCCATAAAAGGGATGAATGTTCCCTGGGAGGTGTGACCAGGGCCAGGCGGCAGTGCTGCAGGCATCGGAGAGCAACAGGAAGGAGGGGGCTCTGCTCCTGTTTCTGCTCTGAGCCACCTGAAGGGGGCGCCCATGGCGGGAGGCACGTATGGGGCCAGTTCTGGGGCCCTGGCCACATCTCAGACCCAAAGGCAGAGCCAGCCTTCCCTGAGGCAGGAGGGCAGAGGGAGAACCCCTGCGGGGTGTGGGGAGCCCAACGAGATGGCCGCGCCCCTAACTGGGACCAGCGCCTCAGATGCACAGGGAGCCACAGCAAAGACAGGAGGGGTCAGGTTGGCATGAGCCACAATGAGAGGGTCTGGGAGGTCCTGCCCAGCTCCAGGTGCAGAAGACAGAGCTCGGGGCATCCCCACCATGGGCTGGACCCCTCTCCTGCTCCCCTCCGCACTCTCTGCACAGGTGCCCCCCCCCCCCCGCAGCTGCCACAGGACCAGCCTGAGGGTGGGAGCCCCTGGGAATGGGCCTTCATCTTCAAGTCCCCTCTCCCCTCCTCTCTCTCTCTCTCGTTTTTTAAAATATTTATTTATTTAGCTAAGATGCACTGGGTCTTAGTTGCAGCATGTGGGCTCCTTAGTTGTGGCGTGTGAAATCTAGTTCCCTGACCAGGGATCAAACTCCGGCCCCCTGCATTGGGAGCGCAGAGTCTTAGCCACTGGACCACCAGGGAAGTCCCCTCTCCTCCTCTCTGACAGGCTCCACAGCCTCCTATGAACTGACCCAGCCGCCCTCAGTGTCAATAGCCCCCGGAACAAGGTTAGGATCACCTGCTCAGGAGGTAACGTCATGCATAAACATGCATCTTGGTACCAGCAGAAGCCGGGCCAGGCCCCTGTGTTGTTCGTCTACGACAATAGCAACCGGCCCTCAGGGATCCCTGACTAATTCTCTGGCTCCATTCAGGGAACACAGCCATCCTGATCATCAGCGGGGACTGGGCCGAGGCCGAGGCTATTACAGTGCCATCTACCATGGCAGTGGGAGCCGTGACTCATGGTGACGTGACAGACGGGGACTCAAGGCACGAAACTGTCCCCCCCAGCCACCCCAGCCTGGTGCTCACAGTCCACGCCCACTCCTCCCCTGCCACCTCCGCCCTGGACCAGGAAGGTTCTACTCCTTCTCCACCCAAAGTCACGTCACTGCACCTAAACAAGGCCCTAACTTTCAGTGTCCTCGTCTGGGAAACAGGAATCATAATGACCATCCATGGGATGAGCTGTGTGAGCCAGGGTTCTCTAGAGAAACAGAACCAGCAGGATGTGTGTGTCTATAAATAGAGATTTATTTTAAGGAATTGCTTACATGGTTGTGGAGATGTGAGTCCAAAATCTGCAGGATGGACCGGCAGGCTGGAGACCCAGGAAAAAGGGGCAGTGAATCCGTCTGCTGCAAAATTCCTTCTAGCTCTGGGGAGGTCAGTCTTTGCTCTACTCAGGCCTTCAGATGATTGGGTGAGGCCCACCCATATTAGGGAGGTAATCTGCTTTACTCAAAGCATCAATTTCATGTTAATCCACTGATTTCAATGTCAATCTCATCCAAATAAACCCTCACAGAAACATCCAGAATAATGCTTGACCAAATATCTGGGCACTGTGGCCCAGCCAAGTTGACACATAAAATTAACTCTCACACTGGCCTTAAATAAACAAGGGTGACCACAGCCTCACTCTCAGGTCGAATGAAACCTCCAGACCTCTGGGCTTTGGAGAATGTTTTCAACCTTCCACAGTAGCGGAGGCCACCCCCAGAGAAGGGTTTGGGAGTCATACAGCAGATCTAGTGATCCCAAGAACCTGGAATTTTCTAGAACGTTCACATCTGGGACTTGGAGAAGATGGACCCACGTGTCTGCTCTGGAGACGACTTGGGAGAGAGGAGTCCTGGTGGCCACAGGAGGAGTCTCTGGGGCCTGTGGGATGGAGAATGGGCAGGGGGCTGACCAGGAGGAGGCAGGGGGCGCCCTCTGACACGGGAGCAGGGCAGAAGTGACTGGACATGACACACCACTCCACTCCAGGGGAGACGGGTGGGGGCGGGGCACAGAGGAGCCAGGGACCCTGAGCAGGGGGTCTGCTGAGCAGGACATCTGGACCCAGACCTCTCTGGCTCGGCCTGAATCCAGCCCTCGGCCATTCTCGGTCCAGGGACGGGGTGGGGACAGGCTCAGGAGGCCAGAGCTGCAGCTGCACCAGCTGGGAAGGCCCTGCCTATCCCCCGAGGGTCTCCAGGGACCAGCCAGACCCAGATTTCCAACCATGGCCACCACAGGAGGATGTGGTTTGTAGCAACAGCAGGTGCAGGGCAGGTTATGGGGAGTAGCTGGGGTCACTGAATTCAGGGACAGCCCCTTCTTCTCCCCAAGACCTGGGGCTGTCCTCTGCGGAACCACAGCTTCTGGGCCCCGGGCAGTGGGTAAGTGTCACACCCACACAGGGGTGTTGCGAGGGAACAGCCTCAGCCTGGACCCTGGCAGGAACCCCACCCCAGGCCCCAAGGTACAAGGAACCCAGGTATGAGGCTGGAGTGGGCCAAGCACCACAATGGGGAGAAGCTGGACTGGATCAGGGCCTCCCAGGGGCTCCCCTATACCCCATGTCACGTGTCAGGGCACCCGCACCCAGTTACCGTTCAGTGCTGGCCCATCTTCCCAAGGACCGTGAGGTCTTGGGTTGCAGTATCTGGCCTCGGGGATGCCCGGTCAGTGTGTGTGGGACATGAGGATCTAAGCAAAGTCACATCGGTCCGCGGAGTCTGACCTCATGGTGGCCTTCTTGAACTCCCTGTGATATGGGGAAATCAGTCTGTCTGCTATGCATCCCATGACCACGGTAGGACAGATGCCAACAGGATGTCTGGAATGGCCCAACTCCACTAGGGCACGTGACATCCATGAAATTCACTCTGGGGGCCCCTGGGGAGAACCTCACAGAGATGCACAAACCATCAGGACCTGAAGCAGAGTGGTTTCAAACACGAACTCCATCCAGTTTGAACTTGAACTCAAGTTCAAGCACAAACTTGATGTGCAAGGGCAGATTTGACAAGGAGCTCCATCTCCTACACACAACTGGACCAGGACTGCGTTTTCCAAAGGTTTTTCTATCAAAAGCCCCAGTAAGAAATGCATTTCCCATCACTATCCAGTGTGTATCTATGTTTTCGGATAACTGAGGCAGGACCCCACGAACCAGCTGCCCTCCGCTCGCGTGGACGCCCTCTGTTCTCCGTCTGCTCTGGATGACCTCACTGTTGCAGGACTCTGGCTGCACCTGACTGAATTGGTTCCACAACCTCTGGGAGTTACAACACAAAATTTGAAAAGTGGCAGTTGGATAGCATCAGGGATTCGTTTGTTTTTTGATGGCCGATGGTTTTCCCAAGCCACACCAGATGGGCCAGCTCCCAATGATGATAATAAGAAATATAATTATAGTCATCCTCCATCTGTGTTGTGCGTGGAGCACTTCCCAGTTTAAAAAGCACTTTGAAAGTACAAATCCCATCTGATTCCACTTAGTCCCTAGAGGGGTCAAAATCATAGAGACAGAAAGCAGAATGGTGGTGGGGAATTCCCTGGTGGTCCAGTGGTTAAGACTCTGCTTGCACTGCAGGGGGTTCAGGTTCGATCCCCGGTCAGGGAACTAAGATCTCGCAGGCTGTGCAGGATGACAAAAAAAAAAAAAAAAAGCAGAAGGGTGATTCCCAGGGGCTGGGGAGGCGGATGGGAAGATCGTGTTTAATGGGGACAGAGTGTCAGTTTGGGAAGGTGTGAAAGTTCTGGATGTGGATGGTGGTGATGGTTGCACAACCATGTGAAGGGACTTAATGCCACTGAATCGTACACTTAACAGTGGCTAAAATGGTAAATTTTATGTTATGTATAACATTCCTGAGGCATCACTGCTGGTAGCACCAGCATAGAACCAGGCCCTCGCTACCCAAGGTGGGCTCAGTGCCTCTTTTCTGCCCACCGCCCACCCCACCCCAGAGCACAGGGTCCCTGGGCGATGATGCATCCAGATGTTGGGGAGGCAGGCAGGCTCCCCTGGACGGGAGAGGGAAAGGGGAGCCTCGCAGAAGTCCCCACTGTGCACCAGACACTCTGCTCGTGGTGGTGACCTCTGGATAAAATCTATGAGCGTGTGTGTGTGTGTGTGTGTGTGTGTGTGTGTGTGAGACACGACGGGGTGGGGGGAGTGAGACCATGAGGTGCTGAACACAGTTCATTAAACACACCATTTTATAATGAAATCACGATTCCCTGACTTGAAACCGGCTTCTTGCTAAACCTGCACCTGTTTCCTCCCCTCTCACCACCCCCGCCCAAGGCTGGTTGGAAGAGAAGCCCCAGCCTCACCCTGCTGAACTCAGGCCTCGGCCGCTCCTCTTCTGCTGGCACTCGGCCGCCTTCCTCGGCCTCTCCAGGCCCCAGGGAGATGCTACACAGGCGCCCTTGGGAACTAGGGCAGGAGCAGATGTGCCCCACCCAGGGTCCCAGGGGTGGGGCCGGCAAGGGCTGCAGCGTGAGGCGGTTGAGCCCTGGATTCCGACCACAGCAGAGCAGTTGGCGGGTGCCCCTCTTGGGAGAGGCCCCCAGGAGTAACGGCCATGGGCCCTGGAGGGGGCCGGGTGCTGGGGGCAGGGACAGAGAAGGCCCAAGCAGAGGCCAGGGCCATGTGGGCCAGGACGCACTGGGACGGCTACCGCCAGAGCGGGGAGCCGGGGGCACCTGCCGACACCCCTCCAGGGAGCCCACGCCAGCGGATCGGCCAGAGGTGCCTTTGACCTGAGGGCACATGAGGCCCAGGACAGGCCAGTTGGGCTGTGAGGCCCGCAGGGGTCAGAGCTGTGTCCCCAGGCACAACTGGCCTCTAATAGTGCTGGGCCTGGCCGTGGGTGCCCATGGCCTGCTGCCCCCGACGCCAGCACCGCAGAGCACGGCCCCCCGCAAGGAAACCCCGGCAGGAAGCAGCCCTTGGAGCCTGTGGCACAGGTAAGGGGCCGAGGGAATCATGGGGGGACATGAGGGTCCCTGCAGGCAGAACTGGGAGTGGGGACAGAGAGCGGGTGAGGGGAGAGGGGCGAGAAGGGAGCATCAGCTGGAGAGGAGGGGCCTGGGCAGATGGTGGCTTTATTTGAAGGGTTGACATTTTGTCCAGTGTGGATTTGTTTGCATTAATTTTTATTTTTTTATATTGTATTAAAATATTTATCTGAATTACTGAGTTTTTTGGCGCCCCTTACATTTTGTACCCAAGACTAGTGCCTCGCCCACCTCGCTCTGGTCCTCGGGGTAGAGCAGGAACAGGGAGGCAGGGGCAGGAGGGGACAGTGGCTGCTGTCATCCTGGGATCCCTGGGGCTCCTCTTAGCTGGTGAGCCACCTCCTCGCCCTTCCCCTGGCTGGGAAGGCTCTGGTCCCTGGAGCACCAGGGCACAAGCTCTGGCTGAGGCTGTGTGGTGAGGGGACCTTCCCTGGTGTCCCCGGGTCCCCCAGCCAAGGGCCACCTCCTGCGACTGGTCCCTGGGAGCCCAAGCCCACCAGGGTGCAGGCACCTCCATGAGAGAGGCCTGGGCGAGGGTCCGTGGGGGCCGCAGTCTGCCCCTGCCGCTGCTGTGTGACCCCAGCCCCCTTCTCTCTGCTTGTGGTGGGAGGTCCCTGGACAACCTGCTGAGCATCTGGGACCATTTGTGATGATCAGTGACGCAGCAGCACATTCATCATGGGCACTGACCGTCTAGGGGCAGAGCCTCCCTCTCAGTGGCCCCACAAGGCAGGTCCCTCTGTCACCCCCAATTCACAGGGATAGAGGCCCAGAGAGGTGAGGCAACTGCCCGAGGTCACACAGCTGGCTCTGACTCCAACGCCCAAGCCTCCAGCTGTCCCCATCCCTATCCCCTAAACAGACCCGGCTGACAAGTCCACCTCTCTGAGCCTCAGTTTCCCCCTCTGCAAAGTGAGGGGTCCTAGTTGGATGAGGGCCTTGCAGCCTGACGCCTGCCCCAGGGATGCTGGGGCCGCGGTGGTGAAGGTCTGGGACAAGAGGAGTGGAGTCTGCGGCACGAGCAGCACAGTCATGGAGGTGGGTGGGTGTCTGTGAGTGTCAGGTCGGGGCCGGCACCGCAGCGTCCGGTAGGGACTGCACAGCCAGGGCACGATGCAGGAGAACACGAGGAGAGACGGACCTCCATCAGGTCAGGCCCCAGCTCAAGGTCCAGGGAAGAGGGGCCCGGCGACAACCGCCACATGCAGCGAGCTGCCTGCAGGACAGAGGGGGCCCCACTGGGGTTGCAGTTCAGGTCAAGGGGTCCACCTGGGCAAGGCAGCACAGGCACAGAACCCTCAGGAAGCGCCTGGGGGTCTGCAGGGCTGCAGCACGTGGGTCTGACAGAGGCTAGAGGGGCGGCCAGGCCCAGACGTGGAGGACCTGTCCTTGGAAGATAGACTTCATCTGGGGGGTCCTGGGGGATGTTTGCAAGGAAATGTGACTGGGGTTGGGTGGGTGGGAGGGGGCGGGAAATCAGAACTAGAGAGGCCTCAGGGAGGGGGGTGTTGTCATGGGCAGAGGGGACAGAGAGCTGGACAGAGTCAGGAGGTGAGAGGACCAGGAGAGGGAGGAGCCAGGATGCCCCCTTGGCTTTTTTGCTGGACAGTTAAGAGAATGCTGTGTCCTGTATTTTACCAAAATGGTCCAAGAGAAGGGATGGTCTGCAAGAAGTTGGTCTTCCCCGAGGACGTCCACTCACCCGACAGGCCACTCAGGGTCTCAGGGTGGGCCTGAACCAAGGGGGTCATGTCCAGGCATAGGGCAGACCCATGGACCATTTTAGGAGAAGTAAGACGTGGGGGGGATGCCCGAGCTGGTCTTACAGATCCAGGGCGCTGACCCATGATGCGGGGGCTCCAGGCAAAGGGAGCAAGGGGTGCTGAGGAGGAGAGTTGAGGTGCACAGACCCGCAGGGAGCTTCCAGAGCCAGGGAGAGCGGGGTGCCGACCATGGGGGTCTTGTAACCCAGTCCTTTATACCGGGGTCCATGAGGAGTCATTGAGGGATCTAAGTGGGGCACTGTCAGTGTCAGGTTTGTGTTTTGGAAAAATGGCTCCAGATCAGAGACCACTGTGAGGGCAGATTAGAGAATGGAGAAGGGACGTGGAGAAGGGGCTTTGGCCAAAGCCTGTGCCTTGGGGACGGGGAGGAGGTCCACGGTAACCAGGTACCAAGATCTCCTATGAAATTGCCAAGTGAGTTTAAAGTGACGTTATCAGAGTGCTGATGAGGAGGAACGGGCACAGTCATGGACTGTCAGCGGGAGGCTGAATTTCTGGAACAAACAATTTCTGGAATAACATACCAAGACTCATAAAAACATACATTCCTTTTTATTATTATTATTATTATTTTTGCTGTACGTGGGCCTCTCACTGCCGCGGCCTCTCCTGTCGCGGAGCACAGGCTCCAGACGCGCAGGCCCAGCGGCCACGGCCCACGGGCCCAGCCGCGCTGCGGCACACGGGATCCTCCCGGACCGGGGCACGAACCCGCGCCCCCCGCATCGGCAGGCAGACTCCCAACCACTGCGCCACCAGGGAAGCCCCATACATTCCTTTTAATCAAGCAATTCCACCTCTAGAAATTTATCTTGATGATATAATCAGAACTTCAGCTAAATACTATAAGTGTGCTCCTGGGGAAGAAGTAGAAACAACCTAAATGTCCAATGATAAGGGAAGGTAAAATAAACTACGGTACATTCATGGTACGGAGTATTACACAGTCATTTGATACGGTTTTTTTGACAACTGTAATGACATAATAAAAATTTTTATAAACAGGTTGCAATATGTCATACTAGCACACTGCTTTTGTTTTATTTCGATTTACAGAGTAAAATTCATCCTTCTTGGTATTAGCAGTTGGATAAATTTTAATAAAACTATTATAGAGTTGTGTGACCCTCACAACAATCAAGATGTAGAACATTTCCACCCCCACCAAAATTTCCCTGCGCCCTCTGTGTAGTCAATCCCTTTTTCTGCCCCAACCATGGAAACCACTGATCTCTTCCTGATCCTATAGTTTTGCCTTTTCGAGATATAAACGGCATCATGCAGTATGTAATCTTTTTTTAAATTAAACTTTTTACTTTGGGATAATTGTAGGTTCACATGCAGCTGTAAGAAATAATACAGAGGGCTCCCATCTACCCTTCACCTAGTTTCTCCCAATGGTAATGTCTTGTAAAATAAAAAATCACAACCAGGATATTGACATGGTACAGAACATTTCCATGGCCACAAATACTCCTTTCTAGCCATGCCCACTTCTCTTCTTCCCAAGCCCCTGCTAACTCTGGCAACTACTAATTTGGTCTTCTTTTCTAATTTTGTCCTTTCAAGATTGTTCTATAAATGGAATCATACTGCATGTACCCTTTTCGGACCGACTTTCTTTCTTTTTCTTTTTTTAAAAAATTTTTATTGGAGTATAATTGATTTACAGTGTTGTTAATTTCAGGTGGACAGCAAAGTGAATCAGTTATAGATATACATAGGTCCACCCTTTTTTAGATTCTTTTCCCTTATAGACCATTACAGAGTACTGAGTAGAGTTCCCTGTGCTATACAGTAGGTTATTATTAGTTATTTATTTTATATTTAGTAGTGTGTATATGTCAATCCCAATCTCCCAGTTTATCTCTCCCCCCCTTTGCCCCCGGTAACCATGTTTGTTCTCTACATCGTGACTCTATTTCTATTTTGTAAATAGATTCATTTGTACCATTTTTTTAGATTCCACATATGAGCGATATCATATGGTATTTGTCTTTCTCTGACTTATTTCACTCAGTATGACAATCTCTAGGTCCATCCCTGTTGCTGCAAATGGCATTATTTCATTCTTTTTTATGGCTGAGTAATGTTCCATTGTATGTATGTACCACATCTTCTTTATCCATTCCTCTGTTGATGGACATTTAGGTTGCTTCCATGTCCTGGCTATTGTAAATAGTGCTGCAATGAACATTGGGGTGCATGTGTCTTTTCGAATTATGGTTTTCTCTGGATATATGCCCTGGAAGCGACTTTCTTTACTCAGCATAGTTTTCTGGCTGTTCATCCAGACTGTTGGTTGTACACACTTCGTTCCTTTTTATTGCTCAATATATTCCAAGTACGTAACCATATGAGTCTGGCTTCTTTAGTTCAGTATAACACCTTTGCAATTATCCAATTATCCCCTTTATCTAGAGTTTGTTCCTTTCTATTGCTAAGTAGGATTCCATCTATGAACGTATCAGAGTTTATTAACTATTCACCAATAGAGGAACATTTGGGGTGTTTCCAGTTTTTGGCAATGATAAATAAAGACAGTATATACATTTGCATACAAGTCTTTGTTTGAACATGAGTTTTCATTCCTTGGTTAAATACCTAGCAGTAGGATTTGATTGATCAGAGGGTAAGTGTATGTTTATATAAAACTACCAAACAGCTTTCCAGAGTGGCTAAAACTTTTTACATTCCCACAAGCAATGTGTACGAGTTACAGTTGCGCTGTATTCTCCCCAGCACTCGGTACTGTCAGTGTTTTAAGAAATTGAGATAAAATCCTTTTAAAATAAAATTCACTTTTTTTTTTTTTTTTTGGCCGAGTAGCTTGTGGGACCTTAATTCCCTGACCAGGGATCAAACCCGGCCCCCAGCAGTGAAAGCACCAAGTCCTAACGAGTGGACCACCAGGGAATTCCCAAAATTCACTATTTTAACGATTTTAAAATACACAATTCGGTGACATTTAGTGCGTTCACTATGTTTTGCGACCATCACCACTATCTTTTCCCTGAGTCTATTAATCACCCCAAAGGAAACCCCAAAGCAGCCCCTCTGCATTCCCCCAATTCCCCAGCCCCTGGCAACCAGTAATCTGCTTTCTGTCTCTATGAATCTGCCTATTCTGGGTATTTCATATAAATGAAATCATACAATATAAGACCCTAGTGTCTGGCTTATTTCACCTAGCATCATGTTTTCAAGGTTCATCCATGTTGTAGCAGGAGTCAGTACGTCATTCCTTTTAAGGCCAAATAATATTCCTTTCTTTGTTTTTTAATTTATTTATGTATTTATTTTTGGCTGTGCTGGGTCTTTGTTGCTGTGTGCTGGCTTTCTTTCATTGCAGCTAGCGGGGGCTACTCTTCATTGGGTTGCGCGGGCTTCTCATTGCGGTGGCTTCTCTTGTTGCAGAGCACAGGCTCTAGAGCGCGGGCTCAATAGTTGTGGCGCACGGGCTTAGCTGCTCCGAGGCTTGTGGGATCTTCCCGGACCAGGGCTTGAATCCGTGTCCCCTGCGTTGACAGGCGGATTCTTAACCACTGCGCCACCAGGGAAGTCCCAATATTCCATTTTATGGATATACCACATTTTGTTTATCTGTTCATTAGTTAATGTGTTATTTCCACCTTTGGGTTATTATAAATAGTGCTGTTATGTACATTCATGTCAAGTGTTTTTCTGAGTATCTGTCTTCAATTCTTTTGGGTAAATGCCTAACAGTGGAATTGCTGGGTCACGTGGTAGCTTTACGTTTAATTTTTGAGGTTGGCCAAACTGTTTTCCACAGTGGCTGCACCATTTTACAATCCTACCAGCAATGCTCAAGGGTTACAGTTCTCCATATCCTCACCAACACTTGTTATTTCCTTTTTTTATTATTGTTATTTTTATATCCATCCCACTGGCTGTGAAGTGGTATCTCATTGTGGTTTTGATTTGCACTTCTATAATTATTAATGATGTTAAGGGTCTTTTCAAGTGCTTGTCCGTCATTTTTATATCTTCTTTAGGGAAATGTCTCAAGTCCTTTGCCCGGCTTTTAAATCAGTTGTCTTTTTGTTGCTTTGTTGAGTCATAAGATTTCTTTATATATTCTGGATACTAGACCCTTATCAGATATATGATTTTCAAATTATTTCTTCCATTCTGTGAGTTGTCTTTTCACTTTCTTGATAATGTACCTGGAGGCACAAAAGTTTTGAATTTTGATGAAGTCCAACTTATCTATTCTTTCATTTATTGCTTGTACTTTTAGTGTCATATCTAAGAATCTGCTGCCTAATCCAAGGTCATGAAGATCTGCACCTATGCTTTATTCTAAGAGATAGTTTTAGCTTTTACACTTAGGTCGTCAATCAATTTTGAGTTTTTGTGTATGGTATGAGGTAGGGGTCCAACTTCATTCTTTTGCATGTGGATGTCCAGTTGTCCCAACACCATTTGCTGAGGAGATTCTTCCTTTCATCCTTCCTTCCTTCCTTCCTTCCTCTCTCTTTCGCTCTCTCTCTCTCTCTCTCTTTCTTTCTTTCCCACACCGCAGGGTTTGCAGGATCTTAGTTCCCTGAACAGGGTATCCCCTGCAGTGGAAGCATGGAGCCCTAACCACTGGACCACCAGGGAATTCCCTGTTCTTTTTCAAGACTGTTTTGCCTATGGGAGTCCTTTGCAATTCCATGTGAATTTTAGGATCAGCTTTTCCATCTCTGTGACAATGATCACCCACTGAGATTTTGATAGGGACTGCATTGGATCTGTGGATCACTTTGGTTAGTATTGTCCTCTTTCAAATATTAACTCTTCCAATCCATGAACGCAGGACATCTTTCCATTTATTTAGGTCTTCTCTAACTTCTTTGAACAACATTTTGCAGCTTTCAGTGTACAGTCTTTCACCTCATTGGTTAAATTTATTCTTAATCGATACCATTGCAAATGGAATTGTTTTCTTAATTTCGCTTTTTGAATTGTTCATTGCTAGTGTGTTGATCACACACCTGCGGAATTTATTTGCTCTGTATATAAGATCATGTCATCTGTGAATAGAGACTTTGAGTTACTGTCTAGTATCCTTTCTTTTTTAATTAATCAATTAATTTTGGCTGCACCGGGTCTTAGTTTTGGCATGTGGGATCTTCGTTGTGGCAAGCAGGATCTTTAGTAGCGGCACACAGACTTCTTAGTTGCAGCATGAGGGCTCTTAGTTGCGGCATGCATGTGGGATCTAGTTCCCTGACCAGGGAATGAACCCGGACCCCCTGCATTGGGAGCGCAGAGTCTTACCCACTGGACCACCAGGGAAGTCCCCAGTATCCTTTCATTGCACTTTTTTTTTTTTTTTTTTGTGGTACGCGGGCCTCTCACTGCTGTGGCCTCTCCCGTTGCGGAGCACAGGCTCCGGATGCTCAGGCTCAGCGGCCATGACTCACAGGCCTAGCTGCTCTGTGGCATGTGGGATCTTCCCGGACCGGGGCACGAACCCGTGTCCCCTGCATCGGCAGGCGGACTCTCAACCACTGTGCCACCAGGGAAGCCCTCATTGCACTTTTTAAATGCACTTCTAGATTGCTTACTTGTGTTATATATCTAATATTCTTATAATTTTAAAACAATTAAAAATTTAAAGCAAAAGATCTTATATTTGCGTCACAAAACCAACCACAGCTAACCGGGCCAGCTTAGCAGGTGGAAAGCACACTGGTCTGCTCCTCTGGCAGAGATTCTTGCATCCAACGAGCCCCAACTCAATGCTGCATCTTTGTATGAGTTGGGAATTTAAATCAGCAAAGGCAAAACCTGGAACTTCTTATGGCTTTGGAGTCTCTGAGGGTGGTTCTGTTGTTTCTTAATTATTTGGGGCCTTGTTTTAAATTTAAGAAGGAGTATTTAGACGCAGAATCTAAGGACAAAGTTCTCTGGCCTGGGGGTGAGAGCACTCATGGTCACCTGTGACAAGGTAAAGACAGAAAAAGAACTGGAATAGGAGAAAAGTGGTCAGTCTCATGTGGAAGTGGTGAGTTAGAGTTTCCTGTTGGGCATCCAGCTGGAGATGGTCAGTAGGCAACTTAAGTGGAGATGAGGAAAGGGCTTGGAGCTGGAATAGACTCGAGCCTCATCATGTGGGCACATTGTGGGAAGATGGCAAAGAAGGAGGACCCAGGGAGGCAGTCTGGGGATCAGTAGCCATGCATGGGTCAGGGGAAAGGGAAAACAAAGAAGGAAGAAAGTGGGGGTCACAGACATCAAGGAGAACCAAGTCACTGGAAAGAGGGGCCAACCGTATGTTACATCCTGCAGAGACATTAGGTACAACAGGAACTGGAGAGGGACCTTAGACTTGACCCAGATGAGGGCCCTGTTGTCCATCACCTGAGAGATTTCAGGGAGAGATGGGGTGAGAGCCAGAAGGGCCCTGGCATGTCCCAGAATGTAAAACACTGCTTGTCAGGCAAGTGTTTGGGAGCCATTGTTGGTTGGATGGATGGATGGATGGATGGATGGATGATGGATGGATGGTTGATGGATGGATGGGTGATGGATGGATGGTTGATAGATGGATGGATGATGGATGGATGGATGGATGATAGATGATGGATGGATGGATGGATGATGGATGGAAAAACAGATGGACAGAAGGACAATGATCTGAAAGATCCAAGAAGGCTTCATGAAAGAGGAGGAACTGAACTGCGTCTCAATGAGTGGAGACAACAGGGCAGGGGGCCCCCAAATGACCTGGTGTCCACAGGCCCAGGAAGAAAGCTGCCTGGCTGGACTGTGGGAAATTATGGGGGAAGGAACACCCAGAAGCCCTAAAATGAGGCCAGAAGAGGTCAGGCAGGTCCAAGCCAGCTCAGGACTCACTCTGCCACACCACATGGCCACCCGAGGGGACTCGGCACTCAGCACCATCATCAGCACTGAGGATTCAGTGGTCACAGGACAGCCTCAGAGTTAGGGGGACACACTGGGTGACAAGGTGTGAGTGGCTCCTTCCTCAGACAGGGGGCTGGGCATGGGGACACCCAGGAGTGCCCCAGCCTCGGGGGGGGCTGGCTGCCCAACCCCCCAACCTGAGGACACAGTCCTGCCTGCTACAGCCCTGTTCCTGTCATGCCCAGCAGTTCCCTGCTCCATCCTGGCCCCCGGGTGACAGGCCCCAGGTGCTGGCCCGGCGGGTTTTGGTCCGAGTCTCGGTCACCGTGGTACGTCTTCGGCGGCGGGACCCAGCTCACCGTCCTAGGTAAGTGGCTCTCACAGCTTTCCCAGCCTGTCCCACCCTCTGCTGTCTTGGGAAAATCAGTTTTTTCTCTCTGGGGGCTGCTTCCCATCTGCCCTCCCAGCTTAAGGACCGACCCCCACCTTTCTCCTTGGGGCCTGGGGAGGCAGGTTGGTCTTGGGGTAACCGGCAGGAAGGACCCCAACAGCAGGAGCAGCCACCTCCAGAGTCCGATAGGGATCATAAGGAGGGAGGAGAGCTGCTTTGGTTACACACGGGGACACTGAGGCTGCACATGGGACGGCTTGGCCAGGTCACCCAGAAGAGTGATGTGGAACAGCTTCTTGGGGACTGTCTGCTGTCCAGGGGCTGAGTGGGAGGGGGGACAGAGAAGGCAAGCAGGGCCACCATGGGGACACTCACAGAGGCCATGATGGGGGTGGGCAACCCCAGATCCTCCCCTGCATCTCACACCCCCTCCTCTGTCACACAGGTCAGCCCAAGTCTGCACCCTCGGTCACTCTGTTCGCGCCCTCCACTGAGGAGCTCAAGGCCAACAAGGCCACCCTGGTGTGTCTCATCAACGACTTCTACCCGGGCAGTGTGATGGTGGCCTGGAAGGCAGGCAGCACCACCATCACCAGCGGCGTGGAGACCGCCCAGCCCTCGAAACAGAGCAACAGCAAGTATGCGGCCAGCAGCTACCTGGCCCTTACGGCCAGCGAGTGGAGATCTTATGACAGGGTCAGCTGCCAGGTCACGCATGAGGGGAGCACCGTGGAGAAGACAGTGGCGTCCTCAGGGTGCCCTTAGGTCCCTGGACCCCCCACCCTCCGGGGCCTGGAGCCACGGGTCCCCTAGGGGGGTCTCCCCTCCCATCCTGGTCCCCCCAGCCCTTCCTCCTGTACCCGATCAACTCTCAATAGAATGTTTTCATCGTTATTCAGAAATCTCTGCTCATTTCTTTCTTTCTTTCTTTCTTTCTTTTTTTTGTCGTACGCGGGCCTCTCACTGTTGTGGCCTCTCCCGTTGCGGAGCACAGGCTCCGGACGCGCAGGCTCAGCGGCCATGGCTCACGGGCCCAGCCGCTCCGCGGCATGTGGGATCTTCCCAGACTGGGGCACGAACCCGTGTCCCCTGCATCGGCAGGCGGACTCTCAACCACTGCGCCACCAGGGAAGCCCTCTGCTCATTTCTTTTTTTTTTTTGTCTCGTATTTAATTTGCACCCTCTCCAGAATTCTGGGGGTGGGGTGGGGAATCCTAGGCGCCAGCGAGAAAGTAACTAAAGGGGGAGGCTCACAGTCTCCTGGGTGGGGGCATCTCCCAGGCAACCAACCAGGACACATCACCCATCCGCCCTCTCCTTCTTCCCACTCCTCCTCCAGCACAAGGCCGTGCCCACCCCCTGCCACCTTCCTGGCCGGAGCTGCCCATGGCTGGTGACCTCCAGATGAGCCCTCCCTCCCTGCCCTGGTGGGGACCCTCCACAACTCCCTGCCCCCGGCTTGTCCTTTCTTTCCAGTATGGCTGTTAGCATAACTGACTCGGGAACCTTCGCCCACATTCCTCTCCCTCTGTGTCCTGCCTGGTCCCTGGGCTGGGCCACTCCTGGGGGCCTCCCAGCCCAGGCTCCGCCTCCTTCCTCCCTGGCCTCCTGCGGCCCCTTCTCCTCCTGGGCTCATGGGGAGGGGACTTTGATCTTAGCTTCTGCTCTGGGGCACTGGTTCCCTCCCGCTCCAGTTAAATGTTCTCCAGGCCTTACCAGCCAGGCATCAAACCACCTGGAGAGTTCTGAGCCCACCTGGACCCAGGTCGCTGGCCCTGGGACCCATGGCCTAAGGCGACAGAGTTGTTAGGGCCAAAGAGGGACCATGGGGGACAGGGGTCTTGGGTTGGAGGGGCTGGCTTCCTCATGTCCTTCCCCTCCTCTGGGTCAGAAATCTGGGTCAGGGCACTGGGGGAGGGGCCGAGAAAGGGTGTTGTCTTCTTGGAGGCCCCGCCTTGGTCCTAGTTCCTGGAGGTGAGGGCTCACTGTGCCCTGCCACCGGAAGGGTCAGTCTGGCCCAGGGCCAGACTGGCCCAGTAGCAGCATCTTGAGGGTAAAGTTCAAACACCAAGCCCCCAGTACAGGTCCCTTTGGCATCTGCTCCTCCCACACTCCCAGACTCGTTTTCTGCTGCCTCTGTGTCCCACCAACACCTACTCTAAGCCCAAGGGCTTCTGTCACCAAAGGCCACACTGCTTCACGCCTCTGCAGTTTGCTCCCGCTGCTCCCTTTGCTGGCATGACAGTCCCTGTCCCCATCCACCTGACAGAGGCCTGCCACTCCCTGATAACCTGCACTCAGCTCTCCACTCGGGACCTTCACATGGACAATGCTTGAACCTCAGCCAGTCTGGGCTGAGCACGTGGGGGCTGAGAGGAGCTGAGGCCAGGCATCTCCCACCCACTCCCGACCCCCAGGGGCAGCAGGAAGCAGCTTCTCACACCTCCCGTCAGGATAAGGAATGAGACCTGTGCCTGGGCACCTAGGACACAGCTGCCAGCCACAGATCTGCTCAGCGCAGCTGGTAACAGGCTTGCTGGCAATAGGGTGTCCACGGGGACCCGGCTTCACCCTCCTCCGTACCCCAACTCTGCCCGGTCGTGGGACTGACCGTCCCCAGCTCTGCTGCAGGTGTCATCTCTTTGCCACGAGGCTGGAGCCCCAGCTGGGTGCTGCCTATGGATCGTGCTCTACCTCCTGTGACCCCCAGACCTCCCCGGGAGGTGGGTGCTAACCACCCCCTCACCTCATGGATGAGGAGACAGAGGTTCCCAGAGCTGAGGCAGCTGCCCAGGTCCCGCAGGCACTCAGGGCCACACACACGGTGGGCACCCGGGCCCCCCTCATGAGGTCACCTTCCCCCCCGAGGAGGCTGTGCTGTGCCAGCCGGGAGATGGTGCTGAGCACACGACCCCCGCAGCCTCTGGACATCAGAGGCATCCTAAGGCTCTGTGGGGTGGGGGAACCCTGGCTTCTCAATCTATACTGACTCAGTGCAGGTAGGGGCAGGCAGGAGGGGGTTCATGGACCTCTGAGTCCATACAGCAAAGCAGTGTGGGTATTGTGGGCCCAATTCACAGAGGAGAGAACTGAGGCTCTGTCAGCGGGATGGGGGTTGGGGGACCTGCCCAGGGTTACAGGGTGAGCTGCTGGCTGACCTGCACCCCCCACCCCCAGCTCTTTCCACAGCTCCTCAGCCCTGCGAGACATGTCATTCATCCATTCACTCACTCATTCATTCAGCAAACCGTCAGCGAGCACTGCTGTGGGCTGGTGCTGGGAACAAGGAGACAGGACCACCTGCCCTGGAACAGCTCATGCACTGGGAGGACACCCGTAGAGCCCACCGCTGACCCCACCGTGTCCTCAATCACCCAGGTCAGCTCCCCGCCCGGGGAGCATCTCCCTGCACACCTGGGATAAGGTTTCATCCACTGCCCGGCCCCACAAGGCGGATCCCCCAGCAGCCGGCACTGAGCACGTCTCGAGGCTCATCAGAGCCCCTCAGGGAGCCTTGAAGTCCCCATCAGGGCCGCCATTGCCCACTTCACAGAGGGGACACTGACCATGAGGGATGTACCGGGCCTGCCCTGCTCAGCTCCGAGCCGGGACAGCCCCTGCGGACTGGTGGCCCCAGGGCACTGGGTGGCAGGGGGATGGGGGCATGTTGGGTGGACCCCTGGTCTAATAGAAAAGAGTGTCAGTTCAGGGGAGGGGGCTTGTCCTGGCCCGGCCCTGCCTGCTGTGCGACCCTGGGCAGCCTCTCCATCTGGGGCTTCCTTGTGGGAGGCCAAGGCTGGGGGGGGGGTGACTGATGGGGGAGGGGGGTTGTAGCTTCCTTCACAGCAGAGCCAGGAATAGCCCTGGGGGAGGGGAGGGGAGGTGACAGGCAAGAATCAGGGAGACTGTCTGGGGCAACCAGGACAGAGGCCAGGGGAGGGGCTGGGTCATCAGACACCCTCTGTCCACTCCGGGGACAGAGTAGTTAATGGTCAGCACAACTCACCAGGGCACCGCAATGCGTGTGTTTCCACACAGGTCAGGGTGACACTCTCTTCCTGTGGCCACTCAACCCGCCAGGTCCCTTCTGCTCCTCAGCACGTGGCCTGGGGACATGTCACGTCAGGGCTGGCATCCACTGAGTATTCTCTGTGCCCGGGCTGTGCTGGGCACCAAAGTCTGGATCCCCCTCCGGTCCTCACCAGGATGGGTAATCCCTGCCCGCCCAGGGCCCGGCCTCCTGGGGACATGCTGGGGACTCCAGATTGTGCCGGGAGGAAGGAGGAAGCCTCAGCCAGACCCCCAAACAGGCTCCCTAAGGAGGACAGAAAGGCTGCTGTGGGCCGGTTGAGAGCAGCTCTCCGAGGGAAGGTGGGACCCCAGAGCAGCCTGGTGAGCCCACCCGCAGCGTCTCTGGTCACACAGGGCCTCCAGCTCAGCGCTAGTGTGGACCAAGTCCCTGCGTGGATAAGGCCCGCTGTGGTCACTGCCCGGGGCAAAGCCACCACTCAGCAGCCCTTTCCTGAGCACCTACGATGTGTGGGGACCTCGGCGGTGGCAACGCAACTCTGCTGGGCCTCCTGTGGGCACAGGGAAGCAGCCTATAGAGAGGGAGTGGTGTCGTGCAGGACGGGCTCGTGCCCTGGAGAAACCAACCAGGGTGAGGGCTGAGGGTGCCCGACTGGGACTCACAAGGGGCCACGGCCGAGCCTGGAGGTGGCCAGGGGGCAGGACAGCCCTGACTCTGGGTTGGCGGCTTGGGGCCTGTGTCCCCGCCATGCAGCCGGGCTGGTGATAGTGGAAACTCGCTCCCTGGGGTCCAGGAGGGACGGTCAGATGGAAACTGGATGTTTACTGGTCTCTGAGGTTGACTGTTGCTGCCATTAGCATTGGCCTGTTCGGGCCCAGCCGGCCTCAGGCCAGCACCCCTGGGCTCCCCATGGGCCCCACCCTCACCCCCGCGCAGCTGGCCTGGTGAAACCAAGAGGCCCTGACGCCCGAAATAGCCGGGAAACGCCAACCAGCCCAGCCCGGGGAAGCAGGTGCCTCCCTCTCCCCAGGCTGGGGGGAGAAGTGGCTCCAGTTCCGGAAGCTTCCACCAGCTCCCTTGGAGAAGGGACCGCGTCACAGCACCCAGGCCGCCCCAGCCCCTGCGCCCAGGCCTGAGCTGGGCAGAGATCACGTCAATCAGCCATCAGAAGGGGCATCTTCTGTTCCAGAATCTTGTGTCTGTGCAGGTCATACCCCCTCCTCGGGGTCCCCAGGGACCTCTCTAAACGCTGGGCGCGCAGCTGCGGCTGACGTGGGACACAGCCAGACACTCAGGGCTCAGAGGAGCCCGGGGGGCAGGGCTGGCCAGGGCTGGACACGGGGCGCTGCAGTCACACCTTCCCTGCTGTCCCCACACCTAGGACTCTTCTTGGGGAGGGACTGGGCCAAGGACGGGGAAGGGGGAGAAATGGGGACCCTCACAATCACTGCACTGGGAGCCCTGGGTCTGGGGTAATAATGAGGAGCCCAGAGCACAGATGTCCCCCAGGAGGCCTCATGCGGTCCTTCCCCAATGGACAGGACCTCAGATTGGTCAGTCACTCATCCATCTGTCTGTCCATCTATCTGTCCATCTGTCTGTCCACCCATCCATCCACCCATCCATCCATCTACTCATCATCCATCAATCCATCCATCCAAAAAGCCTCCCTCGGGCCTCCTGGGGGCCTGGCCTGTGTGGGGCTCTCAGCTACTCATGTCCCAAGCAAGGCAGGACTGGCCCAGTCAAGGCCAAAGTCAGACCTGGAACGTGCCTGCTTCACCATGGAAGGAGGGGCCTTTGAACACTGGGTGCCCTGTTCCCTGCCCAGTCTGCCCTGTGCTTGGTCGATACGCTGAGGTCAAAGAGAGGGCAAGAGGTGTGACAGATGGGCCAGTGTGGTGAG